AACCTGTTGTAGGAGACCTCCAAAACAAAAATAGGAGCCTGTAAATAGCATAATAGGGGCACTTTAAGTGTGTTCGACTTAAAGTGGTCGGTGTATGACATCAAAGTACAGCGAGAGCAGGCGGCTCCGTATGTCAATCTAAAGTCATCTAATTAAGATGATTCTTTAATTCACATTCTCACTTCCTTTTTGACTATCCCTCCATTCTTACTGAAGTATTTCCAGCCATTACGTCTCTGTTCTAGATCACACTCATATCTGCTTTTCCCTCATGGGCTTCATGTGTAATTATAAAAGCGATTCCCAGCTCTAATTAACACTCAGGCCTGATAAGCATGTAAAAGAACTGTCCCACTCACGGGTGGACAGAAGCATATGTCACTCTTCTTGAGTGTGAGAAAGCTAGAGGCAAATGCTGCTATATGCCAAAACTTTTCCCTGAATAAGTAATCCAAGCACAGGATGAGCCCAATATGTGAAACATTTTGCCCGCACTGGTAAAATGACAACAGTGATTTTGCTGACAGATGCAAGAAGCTGTACCTGGCAGGCAGAGAAGCTGCACGCACCTGTGTGTGTGTGTGTGTGTGTGTGTGTGTGTATGCATGACTGATTTAAGTGTATATGCACCATTAGAAGCATGAAAGAGAGATTGCAAAAATGGCCTATAAAAGTTACCGTAGCTAACATTATAAACGGTAAAAAAACCATTCTACCAAAGTGTGGCCCAATTAGTACTTGCCATCATCTCAAATGTCAGCATGTGGGACAGACAGAAGTATGTGGTAGTAGATCATGGTCTACTCTAGAGCTACCTCAAATTAATGTGGACAGGAAAACAGTCCTATACGGCTTTTAGATTTAAAGGAGAATGAAAATGTTTTGGGTTGATAGAGGTTTTCTCACAGCTCTTTGTGTAAGGCATAATGTTTATCACTGCCATCCTGCTGTTGTGAACTAAAACATTGTTGCCATGGATCAAAGAGACAGAATATCTAATTTCCTAACCATGTACAGAATGACAAAATGTGTGTGGGAAATACATAGCACCTGCAGGCTCTCAGATGCTTCATGAAAAAGGCTATGCTAATGATTCGGCTTTAAGCTTCCTTGTGTTTTAGTGCAATTAGTAAGGGAGAAAGAGGGGAACGCGGTGGTTTTCTGCAGTTGTTTTTCCTGGTTGTGCTGGAGGAGAGGGGCCTGCTCATGTCAAATGGATTTGAAAGGTTGTGATTTCCTGTTTCCCCTCTCTTAACTTCCGCCCCCCCCATTTATTCATCAATTTGTTCCATTGAACTCTACAGGGGAACTGCTCACAAAAGCCGTTGTCATGGGAACCCATTATAGTCTGGAGCGGTCGGGGACTCGTGTCTCTGCGGTCTGGGAATTGAGGAAAAGCTATGGATTTACTCTCTCCGGTTATGTCTAGCTTATGGAGCACTGCGCAGTATACACTGCATGCAGCCTACTTTTTAATTAGTATGTGAAATAGAACGCATTTGCAATGATAAACATTTCACACAGTAGTCTAATACTTTACATAGAATGCCGCAATGCATTGTTGTCACATGACCTTTTGTTTGTTTTACTCTGCAAGTGCCACTAATTTTGCATTTTTAATCCAATTTTGTGTAAATGTTTGAATTTTATAGTCCATTAAAGTTATTTAAGACAGAAAAATTGTCGCTGATATTACTTTCATTTTGGTGGAAATAGAAGATTAAGTAGATACTAGAAATTTAAAATACTAGAAATTTTCAGGCAGGTATGTTGAGGGAAGTTGGGGTTAAAATCTGCTGGACAGTGGCCCTCCAGGACCAAGTGTTGGGACCCCTGCACTAAGCTTTTATTGTGGTGGAAAGGGATCAGGTGGTTTATAAGATTCTCATTACTAATTTGTAGGGGTGTAACAATATATCGTGTCGCACTCGCAATATATCGCAATACAATAATGCAACAATATGTATCGTGGATAGTTCACCCAAAATGAAAATTACTGTGTGAGAAAAAATGCAAGTTTTCAGAGTTTTATTGTCAGTATGACATTAAACTACTATATATAATGTTGAATATAATGTATAATAATGCAATGGGGGGATATTTGTGTGTCCTGATAATGCCAAATGTCTGATGTTACCAGTAAAAGTGGTCTACATTATTTTAAATATATCTAGTCAGTGAAAGAGCGCAAGCATATTCATCTAAAATAATTGAGGACTTTCAGTTTCAGAATCATGAATATTGTTATTCTGGTGTCTCTATTGTCCTGTGCTTTGGGTTTCAGCACCAAGTCCAAGTCTATTCATTTACACACACAATGTAAAACCAAATTTAGCATTTTAATCAACAGTAAAAAATGTTGTTAACCTTTTCTCATGTCTTGGAGTATCGCAATAATATCGTATCGTGAGTTCAGTATCGTGATATGTACCGGATCGTGACATGAGGGAATCGTTACACCCCTACTAATTTGGGAAGATGGTAGGAGCATGTTGCGTTCCAAATGCACATTATAAGTGGCTCAGATTAAGAGCACATGCACAGAAAGTTTGTGTGGAACTGGATTAACTGTGAACAGACTAGAGCTGATTTAAGATACTGAAAACACATGAGCTGCTCTCCTGATTAGCCATTTTATTCCTTTATTTTTAATTGTCAGAATAGGTAATCCATCCATTTGAATTTAATTGCATTACAGGTGTTATCTTTAGTCTGGATGATTCAAACGATTAAAATCCTAATGATGTTCCCTGTCTAAACAGACAAAAAAAAAGAAGACATTCAGCTCTCTGTCCAGCCTCGTGTCTCAGAGTCTCTCTTACGCAACAGGCCATCCTCACCACTGACAATGATTTTAAGGGACAAAGTTTGTGAAGTGGAGCGTGACTTAAAGACCCTCTCAGTTTCACACACTCCGTCAACTCAATTCTTCATAATTCAGTCAAATGAGGAGGTGAAATAAGAGAGACTCCATTGTTCCTTTAGGATAGATGGATTTTGTTTAATACAGTGACACTTATTCCTCATTCTAACTGTGACGAAATCATCTTATTCCTTACATCCTGTGTTAGAGGAAGAGTGTGTTTCATAAGAATAAGTCAAGCAGGCACAAGATCACGGCACGGTTGAATAGACCTGTGTGTGTGTGTGTGTGTGTGTACTCGTTCTCAGATTTCTGTACCTGCATTAGGTTTCATGGTGTTGAAATTCAGGTAGCTGATAAGCAATTCAGTGATCAGATGACAAACTACTTGGATTTTGAGTTTCAACGTGTGCTGGCAGTGCAAAATTATGCAATGTACATGAGTAGACATCTTTCCTCATGTTTCTTAGTAAAGTCGGCATGACATGAAAATTAACTCTATATTCTAAATGCATGTTATAGATCTTTTTTGTGAACAATTACTCTATGCATGTTTCATTGCATAGAGTAATATGCAATGAAAAAAGAAAACTCTTTGACATTTGTCCAAAACCTGTGACCAGGGTCAAAAATGTATGATTCTCATTCAACTCCCATTGGTGCTGAGCTAAAAACGTTTTCAGAAAATTTATATATTTCTTAACAAGCGTGAAAGTGTTTTACATTTCAATACTTTTCGATTATTTTTGTTGAAAAATATATTTTAGGTTCTTAGGACAAACACCAACGGTAATTTTGACACTGCAAGCTGAGACTGTTTCTTTAGTAACTGTACATATTGTGATTTTGTTCCCCATATTTTCGTTTTGGTTGCTTAGTTCAAGGAACAGTCCACCTTCATGTTGCCACATGAGCTCTGGAGGGGGAAAAAGAAGGTATTTGCACACCCTAGAAAAACTTCTGTTGGTAAATCATCCACTGTTAAAAGAAACATGAGTCATGGTAGATGTTTTCTTTAGTAGACAGTTTGTATTGTCTTTGAGTTGAATTGCGCATGTCACTTACATCAGTGAGTGTCAGACTATTGTTCATAAAGGTCCAATTTAAACTGTATTATGAGTTCCTGATAAAGTTATTGGCCAGCTGACAAATATGAATTTTATCGCAAATGCCAGTTTTTACTCTCCTTACCACTATGTACTGTTTGTCCACTTTTGCACATATGAAATTGTGCAAGTATGACTGACAAAGCGAAATAGACACACATCCATTGCATTAGAAATGCAAAATTGCATCAGTATTGCAGAGTAGATAAAATTTTATCATGGCTGTTTGGAGCGTCAGAGCAGACTGTGAGTGAGTGTGTTTGTGCTGGAAGAGTCAATGACAGAGGATAACACCCTCACATAGCATGTATATACATACTATACAGCCTTCACGTGTGCAGCTTTTGTGTACGGCGCCAGTGTGAGTTAGCGGTGGGATAAATGACGTTGCTATAATCTCATTATGTTCAGTCTTCTTTCCCACAGACTCAGCAAACTGCAGTAAATTAAAAAAACAGTGGCACAAAAATGGTCGATACACTAAGTCAATGCTTTCATTTTCTTTCAGCACAAATCTATTGATTTTAATGAAGTTTAGTACCATTAAAAGCTGCGATTCCATTAACCTGTGCCATTCTGTCAGCCCACATACGACAGGAAGTGAAAATTGGATTGTTCGCAGCAGTTTGTCTGTATTCATCCATTCCTATAATGTATGAGAGGCTGTTTTATATTGTGAATGTGTATTTTATCATTGTTGAAAACCTGTATTAATCAGTCAGCATCCACGATTTAAACTATTTATTTTAAAATGTATCGATTGTTCTCTCTCCTCCTATCTCCATTTCCTGCAGTGTAGTAGTTTTTTATTTGATGGAAACAATGCAATAACTCACATTTGGATGTGTATCAGTTTAATTTCATGCTGGTTTCCTGCCAAATGATGATTTATCAGTGAAAATATCACAGAGTGCGACATAGAAGTGATGGTGTGATATCAGAGTGGATGTACAGTGGCTTGGGAGGGGGATAACAAGAGTGATTTATTTTGTAACACATATTAATTAATTTATCCCTTTTTTCCCCTTTAGAACTCTCAGAAGAAGAGAGGTGCCAGACCAAACAACAAACCTGACAAAAAAGCATCGCCTCAGGTAATACACATGAATACTACAATATTAATTATTTTGCTTCTATTGTAATATTATAATGATCTGAAAGAGAACTGGTAAAGTACAGCATTGATAGCAAACTGTATTTTTTAGAACAGGTGCTTTCGATATAAAGCTTTCATTGTTCTATTATTTCTTAAGACCGTCAAGGTCGTAGTTTACATTCTTGATCAAGCTCAAAGTGGTCTTTGTACAGTGCTATAGTGATAACTGAACAGTCATAATGCATTTATCACAACAAAGATCCCGAGTTGTTCTTGCTATAAATGTAGAACTTTATTCCCTTGTTATACCTTTTTTTCACTGCAGTGGTGCAGGGATCATACTGGGATTTCTGCAAACTTCTCTCATAATCTTTCCCACTGCAACATAACCTGCCTCAAACATGAGGCACCACAATCTTTGTAGACAACTATTTTGATCTAAATTCAGGTGGATAAATAAAATAAGGTGTCTGGAGTAACTGTGCAACATGACACATGTGTGTCGCAATTGTTTGGCGAGTCAAATGTGGCGAAGACATGACCCCACCTTAGCCATTGACTTGGCTAAGACTTGGTGGTGGAAACAGGGTATAAATGGACAGCGTATTGTTCAATATTGTAGCAGTTAACAGTTTTTTTGGTCTCTGCAAATGTTCCTTTCCAGCCTCCAGAGGACAGTTCAGACCTGAAGTGCCAGCTTCACTTCGCCAAAGAAGAGTCAGCTCTCATGTGCAAGAAACTCACCAAGATGGTCAAAGACAATGAGGCCATGAGGGAGGAATTGTCAAAGTTTCGCTCTTTGTACGGAGAGGTTGATGCCACACTTACTGTCGAAGAGGTCGCTGACTCTCCTCACACCCGAGAGGCCGAGGTCAAAGTACACCTGAAACTTGTGGAAGAGGAGGCGAACCTTCTAAGCCGACGGATCGTAGAGTTGGAGGTGGAGAACCGCGGCCTTCGCGCTGAAATGGATGACATGAAGATCCAGGATTCCCCGGGTGGAGTCGGGGTCATGGGTGGAGTTGGGGGTCACCTGCTGCTTTCCACGTCTGAGAATGTGATGGAGCTACAGCGCCATCTACAGTTCGTGGAAGAAGAGGCGGATCTGCTGCGGCGGTCTCTGATAGAAATGGAAGAGCAGAACAAGCTCTTGATGAACGAGCTCAACCACTACAAATCCGAGCTTCCCGCTGTCAATGAGATAGAGCTGTCGCCGTCCACAACCATCAATTCACCCAAAATCATTCCTGGTGCTTCTGAAGATGAGGGATCCGGTCTAAATGAAACCACCCATAAAGAACTGCTTGCTGCCAGGCTGCAGATCGCAGAGCTGAATGGCAAAGTAAAGAAGCTCCAGTATGAGAACCGTGTGCTCCTGTCCAACCTTCAACGGTGTGACTTGGCCTCCAACCAGGGTTCCGCACGTCCAGCGCTGGAAACCGATGCCGAAGCAGGGGACTCAGCTGAGTGCGTCCCCAGCCAGGTGCACCGCGAAGGCCCGGTGGGCGACGAGCAGCACGATATTCTGGAGGAAAATAATCCTACATTTTCAGTAACAAGTCACTCTTCTACTGCTCAGGGCCTCAGCATAAAAGACCTTTTCGCTATCCGCGACCAAGCGCAAATCATTACCTCAGCCATTCAGCTTCTAACATCACCCGACCCCTCCAGTGTCACACCAGATGCTGTCTATCGTAAGATTACAACAAATGAGTCTGCGGAAGCGGATCTGCTGGAGAAGAGCCAGACCCAGAGCTCCACGCTGCCCCTGGTGGAGGCCCTGCATGGCAGACTGCAGTCCCTCCAGGCTCAGCTACAGGCCCTCAGTGAGAGGGTGGATGCCCTGGGGCAGCCCTCAGAGAGGGAGTGTGTGGAAGGGATGTCCCTGATGCCCCTGCTGTCTGAGGCGGACGACCCTGCAGCAAATTGCTCATTCCCTGCAGATGCTCAGTTCAACCAGAACATGGCCCAACAGAAGGTACACGCCCAATCTCCTTTGCATCTTTATTCTTTCCTTTTTGCTTGGAGTTTTGTCTTTTTTATCAGCAATTTTCTTTTTTGCTTTGCTTGATTGAGTTGTATTTACATTGCCCTTTCCCTTAGAAAGGTTTGTCGACCACTAGAGCTGCACGATTAATCGTTAAAAGATTGTGATCTCGATTCGAACATCCACACAATGTCATTCCTAAACGACAATGATTCATTAGCATGCGTCTATTAACCCTCTGGGGTACTTCATTTTAGACTCACACTCAGGACCTTCGTGTCAAAAATGACCCGGAGGGCGGCATTAAGATACATTTTATTTGAGTAAAATCAATGAAATATATTTTTGTCCAATACTATTTTTTCTTTTCTTTTTTGGTGTTTTGAGATAATTTTATGATTTATAAGCAGTTGTCATGATTGTGTAGGTATGAAACAGCGTCATAAACAGTTTTTTCTACCACACAGTATCGTTATTTCTGTGTTACAAATATTCATGTTATCAGAAGTACTGGGATAAAAGTTTATAGTTATAGACATAAACACTGATGTCTACAGAAGCGATCAAAATAGAGCATCACTTTTTGAAAGTAACTTGTGGTGACAAGTGACTGTTAAAAAATTTATGTGTCATTGAATCATTCATTCAAGAGATTTGTTCAAAAACACTGATTCATCCAGTAATGAACAAGTGAAGTATTTATGAGTGAGTCATTGAATCATTCATTCAAACAGTTTTTTAAATAATTCATTCATATGAATTAAACATTTTAAATAGACTGCAGCAATTAACATTTTATCAGAACCTCTAGTAAATTACATGCTATTTTGTTTAGTTGTCTGTTCAGAATCGTGGGAGAATCATGATCTCTGAAAAAAAAGGTGATTCTCAATTTATCCAGAATCGTGCAGCTCTACCGACCACTATAACAATGCATGCTTGTAGTGCATTATAAGGCTTCATAGTGGATAGCATTTAGGCCTCTAATGGAGTTAGATCATCATTATTGTGATAAGAACTGTTTTGTTGTGAAAGTTTTCCTTTCCATTTTGATTAAAGAATCTGCTTTTTTGGCATTGGCTAAGTATTTTATGTCTAGATTAAAATGAGACGGAATAGTATAAGTTTGTTTGTTTACTAGTATAATAATGTATTATAGAATTTGGATGTGGCTGTTTCCAATAGATCTTTGACTAGACTATTTCCAGGGATGTCAAACAGTCCTGAAGAGTTTAGCTCCAACCCTAACTAAACACACCTGAACCAGCTAATCAAGGTCTTCAGGATTACTAGAAGCTTCCAGGCAGGTGTTTTGGAGCTGGTTGGTGCTAAACTCTGAGGGACAGTGGCCCTCCATGAGCGGAGTCTGACACATGTGATTTAAGCAATCACAAGAAGTTGGCTAATCCATTCATTCACTTTATTTTGATGGTCCCTTAAACCCATTCTGTTGATTATAAGTAACTTGCACTTACATGTCTACTAACTTTTATTAGAGTGTTAGTAGAGCATTAGTAGACTAGTAGGGTTAGAATAGGTTGACATGTAGTTGCAAAGTTACTTATAGTCAGTAGAATGTCTGTTGGAGGACCATCACGATAAAGAGTTAGCAGATATTAAGCAGAGACAGTCTACTAATACTCGGAGAGTTAGTTGACATGTAGTTGCAAAGTTACTTATAGTCAACATAATGTTCAAAAGGTACCATCAAAATAATGTGTTACCGTTATTTCCCATGACAGATAATAGCTTAGCCTCTTTATTTACTCACTCTCACGTCGTTCCAAACCTGTATGACTTTCTTTCTTCTGTGGAACATAAAAGAAGATATTTTGTCCATACAATGAAAGTCAATGGGGTCCAATATAACACTGTTGTATTGGGCAAAAAAAAAGAGAGATTCCTTTTCTTTTCTTTTTTTGAATCATTTGAGGTTTAATCTAACAGGCATTTATTTAGGCTCCATTAGAGGCCCAACTCTTGAGATCCAATCCAGACTCTTTCCTCCCTCCTTCTCTCTCTCTTTTTCCTCACTGCATGGGCACCATGACCTGTGGTCGCTGCTACATTTCTTTCTTTGTTTTTCTTCTCCCTCTCGTTATGATTCTTTTGTTTCCCCCTATGTCATTTACTTTTTCCTCCTCCTCAAACCAAAGATGATGCTTTCGCTCCTTGTTGTTTTGTTTCTTTTTGCCATTTTGTCTTATACCACAATGACCAAACTGTTTTTCCTATACATACTTTTCATTGTCTTGTGAGTTTTTATTTGCTGGTGATGTTTTATAGGTATCATTGAGCCATTTTCTCTTTTTTCCCCCTTGTTTCATTTCTCACTTGTCTGTTCTGTCCTTGCATCACTGTCTTATATACACACACTACACATAACTTTTTTTTATTCCTTCATCATATTCTTCTTGATCTTGTCTGTCTTCTATCATGCTCGTCTTTTATTGTTGTTTTTTTTGTTTTCCTTCATTAACTTGCCCATGCATGCATGCAACAGCCTGACTCTAGAGATCAGCCAGACTGTGAGGTCAAAGTTCACCCATGCAAGGCAGAGGAGGAGAGCAACAGCCACAAAGACAGCAACAAAGATGAGGAATCTGACTTAAAGGAAACAAACTCTGATCTGGTGAGCGACTAAAACATACACACATTTAAATTCTTCTACCATCTTACAATTGTACACACAATAGCTCTGTTTCAAAACATAAGCTAACACTTTTGGACAAAAACAGAGGCAGCATGTTGTGCATCTTTTATGGATAAAGGCTCGTTCACACCAAGAACGATGACTATATTAGCATCCATCCACACCGGCGGACGATGTTGTTCTGTTTAATCTAAGCGCGCTGCAGTTTTGTTGTCGAGTTATTTAAAGCAAGATGGATTCTGATTGGCTGTCAATGTTTTTATCGTTCATCAGCTGGAAAAAATAATTCTGAAAGTGATTCCAACAATATCTTTTCTCTGTGCGGTTATCATTATAGTTGTGGTGTGCTATTCTTTTTTATTTTGAATGATTTGTAGAACTATATCTTTATAGTTATTTTCCTTGTTGTGGACGGGCCTTAAGGCATTTTCAGAATGTAGAGCAACAAGTTCAAGGAAATATTACATCCATGAATGGTGTTCTCTCGGTTTCTCTTTGGATGGTTGGTAAACTGCAAAATCTCAGAAGCTACAATGAAGGATTAGTGACTACATACTGGTCACTCAAATCTGAAACCCTAATTGGGAAATTAGGGTTTAAGTGATGACAGCAAAGTCTATTAAATGGGACATTCATAGACTCAAAAGAATGTTTATATGGTTAAAATATAAAAGTACCGTTGCATCCATAAATAAAACAAGACTTGTTCACCCATGCAGAGATATGAGCAAATATAGTTCTCGCTGCCAACATGGTTTAGCTTTAATCCCACTACGCTCTTACATTACACTATATTTTCCCCAGTAACGGCCTACTTTTTCTCCTCAATTTGGTGCAGTTTAGATGGCCAGTGATTTGTTTAATTTGTGCAAGACTTTATACAGTACAAACTCCGGAGAAATATGCAGTCTTTAAACTGAAGACAGTAAAAAGTATTGACACGATTATGCCAAGCTTTAAATCATGAAAGCCTGCATTATGTGATTTGGTGTCCTGCACGCTGTGCTAAACGCCCTTGCAGCACTTCAGAGAAACCTCCAGCCATCAACAGTTTCCACCCAAACAATTCATCACCCAGCATTTCCATAACTGGCAAATGTGGTTTTCACAAAGAAAAAGAAACAACTGGGATCTTGTGATCAAGCTCTGGTCTCATGTTTCAAATTTTAGGGAGGGCTTGTCAATGTTGGACTGATGTTGCTAGAGTAGAAATGGTCTAGGGATGCAAAAACTTTTTTTTCTCAAAACTATTAATTCTGTAAAAGAAATCCTGTATATTTAGACTGGTTTCCTTACCTCACCCAGATTGGACGTGTTTCCTAGAGGGCTTTACACAAGACATGTTTTTGAGTTGAATGCAAGGTCCTTGATAGAGTTAGGCTACTATTAGTTTTTGCTGTTGTAATGAAATTATTATTACTATTTAAAACATGGCGGCAGCTTCTAGTTTCAAAGGAAAATAATTTTTCTAACATCTTTTAAGCAGTAGTTTACATGGGAGATAACAAAAAAAATCCCTAATGTTTTATATACTAATTATTACTATAGTTTTTTTTATTTTTTTACTATAGTTAATATTGAAATATACAGTAATTATATGCAGGTGTGTCTCGTGTATACAGCCATAATATTCATCAACTTGAAAACATAGATCCGTACAATAAACTTCCATTAATGTAATTTGTTAATCATAGATGCATTCAAAAATTAAACCCAAATTTTGAGATGTTCTTGTAAAGACTGTAGGTCTGACCCCTCCCCATCCCCTTACCACTGCATTTTCGGCTCTTCAGGTCCCAATAGGCTGTTCCCATTCACCAAGTGACCCCTATTACCACCTCTGCCTTGAATTCATACATTAATATCGATGGATAAATCAAGCCCTCCCTATAGCTTTTTACATTCAAAAGCTGTTTCACTCAGAAATGTCACAATCAAGTCGGCCATAACTTCCATTACATGAGTTTAAGTTTGCTGAGCAGGATATCAATTATTAGATGGCGTGAAATCAAAAATCAAAATGCAATAGATGTTTGCTTTTGTTACATTTAAAATTGAAGTCATTTTTTATAAGTTAAGGTTTAAAAAAAAAAGATATTGACGTAATGAAATACAGCATTGTTTAGTATGACTCTGACTCGACTAAGGTGGAATCAAACCCAACACTTGTCCTTGAGTCCTGTTTTTAAAAGTTGGTCTATTTTTAACTTGACACAATTGAGATACGTCTGTTGCTGACTTAAATAGTTGTGGCGCTTTAAATGGGATGCAAAATATCAAAACAATTAGAAAGGGGAAAAAAATTCTAGGTGACTAGTCTAGGAACTTCGAATCCATTTTCTTGGAAAAAGACAAATAATACAGACTGTTTTCTCTGCACTCTTGAAGTCAGACAGATTCTAATCTAAATTGATGTAGTTATAAAGACTGTTATTATATTGCCACTGAAAAATGTTGACATTTAAAAGGTTCCAGTCTATTTATATTACAAATACCGTGCAGCTACAGAATTTACCAATTACTTTCAATCCCTCTCTCGTTTTCATGTTGTTCTCCAGATTGGTGAGCTGCACACTCAGTTGTCTGAGGCAAGAGAGAAGGCTCAGGGAGCGCAGGAAGCGTTGTCACAGGAGAGACATGCGCGCCACAACGACACACATAAACTCTCTCAGGTGCAAACATGTTAATTCTCTCTCAAACACTGACTGAACATCCAAATAAAGCAAACCTAACCCTAAAATCTGATTGGTTGTAGACTCATTTTAATGTCTCTCTCTGTAGCTTCAGGAAGAGCATCAGAAGGCCCTCCTCCTCAGAGACTTCCAGCTACAGAGCCTGAGCCTCCAGACGCGTCTGCAGCAGAAGCTGTGGAGTCAGGAGAGAAACCTGCTGGTGCAGGAGTCACAGCAGCTCAAAGAGAGCCTGCTCCTCATCAGCCTCAAGCTGCGCTGGCTCCTCAAACAGTGGAGACTCGGCAAGAAACTAGACACTGAGAGCAAGGATATCCTCGAGGTGAGAGCTGAAGGGGAATTCACCAATAATGGATTGTGCCAAAATCAGGTTTATTTATACACACACTGTTTGTATAGTTTTAGCAGTTGATTCACTGAAGGAATTTCATGAAAATCGGGAAACGATGTGAACATGCTTACTAAGTCTGAAGGCCACACGACACAATTCATTCAAATTTGGAACAGGGTTAAACTGGATTGTGGTTGTTTAGTTTATAAGGTGCAATTGGTTTGATGGTCCTTCAGGTACACTACTGTTCAAAAGTTTGGGGTCAATACGTTTTTTTGTGGAAATAAATAAGTACTTTTATTCAGCAAGGATGCGTTTAATTGAACAAGTAAAGACATTAATAATGTTACAAAAGAAATAGATGCTTTCTATTAATCAAAAAAACTTGAAACAAGTTATCTATAACAATATTACGCAGCACAACTGTTTTCAACATTGATAATAATCAGAAATGTTTCTTGAGCATCAAATCAACATATTAGAATAATTTCTGGAGACTGGAGTAATGATGCTGAAAATTCAGCTTTAACATCACAGGAATAAATTACATTTAAAATATATTAAAATAAAAACAATTATTTTAAATTGTAAAAATATTTCACAATATTACTGCATTTTTAATCAAATACAGCCTTGGTGAGCATACTAAAAAGATTTAAGAAATCTTACTGACCCCAACATTTTGAATGATAGTGCACTTTGTAAATATTATTGAAGTAAATGCTGATATGTTTTCCCAGGTTAACAGTGTCAAAGATCTCCGTATCCTGCTTGAGGAAGATGGGCTGTCCTCCCACTATGGAGACAACAAGATGTCTGCTGCTGAGGAGCAACCCCTCAACCCTACACCCAAAGAGCACAGCCTGGCAGAGAAAAGCTGCCCACAGGTGGGTGAAAACAGAGATTGGCTGAACAACGTACTTCTGCAACTTTAGATTTGATGTCCTAATAATCCAGTCTTCACGGCTATTTAAAAGTAGTTAATTTCCATCTCCTGTTGCCCCCAGCAGCCTAGCGGATTCGGCAGTACTCTGTCGGACCTGAAGGTGGCGCTACAGGATCTGAGCGCTGAGCTGCGCGAGGAGCGTCAGAGTTCACAGGAGTTAACACAGCAGTTTGCCCGTGCCAAAGCATCATGGGAAGTGGAACGGATGGAACTCAAGAGCATTATCACTCAGGTGAGCAGCTGTGTCCGCTCAAGACGGTCCTGATAGATGGGGGACACATTCGTCAGTCAGACAATTGAAACAAAAACTAGGCAAATGTTGGACCTCGGCCTCACTTGACTGAATTTATATACATATTTTCCATAATTAAATGGCCAAGATTTTACATAGTCCTCATTTAACATAGGAAATGCCTGAAAATACAGTTTGTTCCCTGCCTTATGGCTTGGAATTTAAAGATCAATTTGTAATAAAAGCTTATAGTGACTTTTAAATCAATATATTCCTGTAGCCAAAAGTAAATGGCATGTGTAGATCAATCTGTGTCTTCAGGATAGTGGACAGTTGTTGAAAATGTATCTCAGCTGGAGTTTTCCGTTAAGGATTTAAAACTTGAGTGGGAAAATTCTGTTAAATACATTGTCCCAATAAAATCTAAAAGAGTCCATAGAGGTGAATCATTTTATAGGTAATTTGCACTGCATGTGTAAAGTAATTACTTTAGCATTGATCTCAGTGGGTAATTTTACTCCTGCACTCAGGGCTATAGTCATTGATTTAACATACACAGATTACAGTAATTCCTCTTGGGAGATTCATTCTGAACACTGAGGCCAGATTTCTCACGATCAGTTTGCTGTCAAACAGGCTGAAGGATGCTGGATGTGACCTGTAATTTTTTTTTATTTGATCTGTTGGTTTAAGACATGCACCAGTAGTCTGGGAAGAGAGCTGTTTGCAGTGTGTCATCAGCAATGTGGCATTTCAATGGGGGGGGGGGGGGGTGAGAGGGAGTGTGTGCTTACAGGCTTGTTGCAGGGCGTGATGGTGAAAGATGAGTTTAATATCTCTGCACTGAGACACATTCATGACTGCAGTCTTCTTAATGGCTTAATTAATGGGCTCGGGGAGGAACAGGATTTAAGACACAGTTTGTGGATCAGTCTGATAAACACAGAGGCTAAAGAAGAGAAACAAATAAGAAATAAAGTAGTGATGCACCAAAAAAAAATTCCGGTTTTGGCCGAAACCGTTTTGGAAGGCCTAAAATACCGATAACAATACAAATATTTAAAGAGCAGGTACACATAATACAGTGGCACGTGCATTTTAGACAAGGCTACTCAAAAAAATAGACATAAGCAAATGTAATAGAAGACATGAGGAGTGTTTGGATAATCATTATGTTTGATGCTGCTAATGGAGCAGAAATGGTACTGCAGCTTTAAGTCAAGTGTGTGTAGATGTCTTAAACAGTGCGTCGAGATCCGGGGCATGCAATCAGTTGTGTTTAGATTAGCTAAAATACGCACTCTCCTCCCTTCATTGTTGTAAAGGTTACAGCTGAAAAAAAGAAGTATACACACACACACACACACCATTAGATTGCTCCTAAAGCAATAGCCCTATGCTCTCCAGAGAACCTAATGACACTAGACCGCCCCTTTCACCATTACTGCTCTGATAGGTCGATATTACAGAGCTTTTCTCTCTGACTGCACTTCCTTGGTTTTTCTAAGACTGTGGTTTAGAGAATAAGCCAAGCGATAAAGGGAGGAATGGAAGAGGTGGGACTTGACACTCTAGTATTACAGGGTTCCTACGCAGTTTGGAAAAGTATGGAAAAGTATGGAATTTGATCTAAGTAATTTCCAGGTCTGGAAAAGTATGGAAAAAAGAAAGCAGAGTATGGAAAAATATTTGCATTTCCAGACTATTGACCCTATTTAGTTTTCTATAATAGAAAATTAAGAATTTAATGAAAATAAATGTATCATACAAGTGTGTTTTCATGGTAGCTGTTTAGCGATTGTCAAAAACGACTGAATGAATTTAAGGTGCACTTATTCATTATGCAAAAATGCAGGTTATAAGCGTTTTGAGCCACTAAAAGGATCTTTGCAAAAATAAAAAAATATGCAGACTTTCGTGTGCGCATGAGAAACCATTAAACTTAGCGTAGACAATGCACACTGAGGCCCCATCCACACTACTGCGTTTTAGTTTAGAAACGGATAATTAAAACGAATACGATCTCCGTCCACACCAGCATTTTAGCTGCGTATTAGAATTGATCTCCGTCCACATTAAAACGACTGAAAACGCGGATCACGTGACCATTCACCAACACTGGGCATGCGCGTGCCGGTGTAAACACAACTTCATTGATAAAATTATCCCACCATGCTCTGGGTTAACCCCAAACCGACGCTCCATGTACGGTCAACGCCGCCGCTGCACACGGGAATTGTCACAGATCGCTCGAATAATAGCTTGACTCGGGCGCATGTAGGCAGTTATAGCGTTGTAAAATGCAGAATTTACTTGTACAACAGCTGCTAGCAAAGATATACGCCATGACTGATGACACCCAATCATAGAGCCGAGCGGGAGCCTCTACTACGTCATCGTTTCTAAAGTCCTCTGTTTTGACCCGTCTACACTAAAACGCCCTCCGGAGTTTCAAAACGAAAAACGGATCGGCAGCGTTTCTAAACTTCTCCGTTTTGGGTCTCCGTTTTTGCCGTTTTAGTGTGGACGGGAGGTGCAAACGTAGCAAAAGGTCTCCGTTTTTAAACGAAAACGCAGTAGTGTGGACGGGGCCTGAGCCACCTATTGCACCATGAGCCCATTTCACTGTGTGGTTTCTTGGCCGCCAGAGAGTATGTGTTAAAGCAGACCTAAGGCCTTGAAATAGGATAATGTACTGCCCTATTGAAAGCCAAATTTTGACTACTTTTTTTTTTTTTAAGCACCAGTGTTTTTATAGACCCTTGAACTTGGCAAATAGGACAATGCACACAGCCATATTGTGCCATCAGCCCATTTCGTGTCATGGTTTCTCTGCCGCCACAAAGGATGCATTAAATTGGTCATTAGGCCTTGATATTAGAGGACTACCCCAAGGAAAGCCAAATTTGGAGCAAATAGGCCTATATTTCTATTAATTCATGTGCACATTTGCTCTTTTTCTACATAGATTAGGTTATAGTATATAAAACTAAAAATTGTAATGCGTAATTGTAAGCATGCAAAAAAAAAAAATCCCGTGCGCATGTAAATAGTTTCTCGAGGGCCCGATAAAGTTTCTCGTGTGCATGCAAAAGTCTATATACACTACTCTGCAAAAGTCTTTGGCACTTTAGTATTTTCAAACCCCTAAAAAATAGTTTTAAGCCAGTTATTTATATATTTTGCTGTAGTGTGTCAGCTTGCATTTCCAAACATTCATTTTGCCATTAATGGTAATAATCCAGTGAGATTTTTTTGTATGCACAAGGAGTGACAAGAGCCGGTATGAATATGATCTGATCTCTCCATCATCGAGCCTGTCTGTGATTACATGAAGAAACAGAAAAAAACTGAGACAGACTAAATCCAGAAGAACTGCAGCAACGTCTCCAAGATGCTTGAAACCTTCCTGCAAAGCTACAGTCCTGCGAGACGTTTTAGGCACTGTAAAGTGAGGATGCTTTCCAAAATAATGTCATAAATAGATTTTATTTATCAATTAGCTTCTATAAACTGAATCACACCATATTTGGTGTGACCACGCTTTGTGTTTAAAACAGCTGTTGTCCGGACACTTGCACATATAGCTTTCAGGAAGATTTCTTCAAGAGTCTTGGAGACGTTGCCGCAGTTCTTCATGTAATCCCAGATGGACTCGATGATGGTGAGATCAGATCTCCGTGTGGAGAACACTGGGTGTTGTCAGACTCCTTATGCATATAAAAATCTCACTGGATTATTATAATGGCAAAATAAATGTTTGGAAATGTAAACTGATATTTCCTACTGACACTACAGCAAAATATATAAATAACTGTCTTAAAGCCATTTTTTTGGGGTGAAAATACAAATTTTGCTTTGGAGATCTCCTACAACAAACGCTTTCATTTTCTCATAATATACATTGTACATCACCACATTTTTCAACGATTCTCAAACGAATTGTCCGATGATTCAGTCTCTTTCCAAATCCCTCCTTTCCACGAGCCTGCTCTGCTCTGATTGGCCAGACGGTCCAGTCTGGTGTGATTGGTCTACTACTTCCAGGGCTTGTCGGAAGCTAAACACCATTACCATAACTAAAGTTCAGCTCCGGAGGCTTCCTCAGTCCTCAGTGATTACACACTGTAACGACAGTAACTATGACGTCGATTTTACCATATCAATCCGAGCGCTTGTCCGATGATGAAACATTGGAAGAATTATGAGATGTTGCAGCTGTAATTCCTCACCATCAGCGTTAACAAATGTATGTCCATCAACAAACTGATATTTCTAATTTATTGAGGTGCACGTGTGAACTTTATTAATAATAGTGCATACGTTAGCCGAATGACTGATGTAACATTAACGTGACTTAGCCGGAGAACTACACAATATAGTTGTGGGCATTAGGCAAATGTGTTACCCAGTGACGTGTAGCCGTCACGGAAGTAAGATTTCGAATTCCTGACGACTCGTTTAGGCGGTTCAGAGTCGATTCTTTCTTTTGAGAAACAATAATTTTTTTTTTTACGTGTGCTTTTTCGTTTTCATAACTTAGCAGATAGCTGCATTACACGTTGCATGATAGGGAATATCCGAAAAAGCATAATAGGGGCACTTTAAATATGGTCTGAAAATCTACAGAGAGGTTTGGAAATTTGAGTCTGGAAAAGTATGGAATTTTGAAACGGAAAATGTGTAGGAACCCTGGTATTAGCTGTGACCTCAGTGGCACTAATAACAACCTGTCACTTGATTTATGAAAATGATTTATCACTGTATTAACAAGAAAGGTTATTGATACCATTAATGCTGTAAGTATAATGCAATGAAGTCTTCTGTTGAGGCTGCACATCGTCATTTATTAATTTATACATCGTCTATTATTAAGATGCTGCACAGTTGTTAATTTATCATGCGATTCAAAGGTGAATCAAATAAATAATCTGCAAAGCCACATTAATAGTCTGATAGAAACAATAGAATTTCTGGATAATTTTTCTTTTTCATAATCATTTGGGTTTATGAGAAGGTATCTGGAACAACTATCTTTCGTCCTCTTTAATAAACCACATCAACCCATTAACCTCTTATTGCCATCAAAATCAAAACTCATTAGGCATTATTACCATGAGGAGCTAGTCACTGATTGTCTGATGAGTTCCCAGCAGGCTGTGTTTTAATAATCTGACTGGCATACGCTCATGCAGTTTATGACTTCTAAAGATTTACAGCTCCAACTGAGAGAGCAGAAGGAATTCAAAATACGATAAATGGGTGCCGGCTTCATAATTACTGTTGTTAGAAACATAATACAAAATATAACCAAATATCATAACAATCTAATGGGATGACTCACATTTGAAGCTGTTGTAAAACTGCCAATGCAAATTATATAGGGTTGATACAACTCATGATGTTAACTGTAAACCGCAGTTAATAAAATATATTACCCGGAAAAATAATTGTCTATTTTAATTATTCTTAATAGTAAATGTAATTATTGCTTTTTACAATTAAGCATATATAATTGCTCTTTGATCTGAATATTTAAAGGAGCTGTATATAAGAAATTTATTTCAATTAATCATAAAATGGACCTGATATATCACTAGACATTAAGAAATCATGTACATTTCAAATACTTATATCACTGACAACAGTAGTCCGGCCAGGATATTGTCATTTAAAAAGTGCAGTTGCAGCCCTCAACTGATGTTGATGTTGTCATGTTGTGTTTTGGTCTGATGCTCCACCCTCCACCTATCGACCAATCACGAAGTCAGTAGTGTTGCGGCATCCGGGTTGCCAGCTCTGCTCTAGTTACCACAGCTGCAGCTCGTCACGTTCCGGCTGGATCCTGCAGCCTATCTGGCAACCTTAAGTCAGGGGGAGGGGGAGGGGATACACCACTCTACAGTAATTTGAAAGTGATTGCAGTACCAGTTTTGGCCACAATCTTACATACAGCTCCTTTAATGGTATAATATCTATAAAATATCATGATGTCTGAATGGTGCTGCTGTTAGCATCAGCAAATGCTTGGGTATGTATTATTGGGCTGTTTCTATGGTTACTCTTCTGGTTCTGAAACATCAAGTAATCTCTTTTTATCTCAATCTCTCATTTTGTACTTTATCTTTGTCATCAGCTGGAGGGTAAGATGGGGAAGGCATCTGTGGCTGGGAGTGAAAAGGATTCTTCAGACCTCAAGGGGGCACTAAGGAAGGAGCGAGAGGAGCATCAACACTTATTGGCGGACTCTTACGCTGCCGTGATGGACCTCACCAAACAACTGCAGATTGGTGAGAAGAACTGGAGCCGAGAGAGGCTAGAGCTTTTGGAGCACTTCAACCAGGAAAGAAGCCAATGGGAACAACATATGCGAGATTCCCAGAGCAAAGGCGCACAGGTCAGATGTCATTTGAAAGGATTTGTTAAATTAAAAATTACAATTCTATCATGTTTTTTTCCTCCTTCACTTCATTCCAAACCCGTATGACTTGCTTTTTCAGTGGAATGCAAAAGGAAAAGAAATTATGATTGTGCTGGTCACTTTCAAGTTTCAGGAGACACGAAAACACCAAAAAGAGTTGAATAAGAGTCTTCTGTACATTTTTGAAAATTCTTCAATTAAACACAAAAGGAGAAATTCTGAAAGCATCAGATTTTTCAGAATTTCTCCTTTTGTGCTCCACAGAAGAAACTTATTTGGGTTTGGAACTACATGAGGGTGAGGAAATGATGACAGCATTTTTATTTTTGGGTGAACAATAACTTTTATGGTCAAGCTTCAAGTGAATTACAGGCCTGGGAAGCTTTGTTTTGTATTACCAAAGCTTGTTCCCCTGCTTTCATGTTTTTCTTTCATATTTTTGAGTCCTTTAATCTGTTTTATATAGGTCTGTGAGAATGTTATTATGACATATTTTGCACATTGTTCATCCCCACACTTCCTTCACTGACTCAGGGCTCCCCTCACATAATGGGAGGATATGACAATATCTCTAAACATTTCCACAGAGCGCCGGCATGCACACTCCCTGTGTGTTGCATCACTTGCAGCTGGAATTGCTGGTTTTGCATATCAGAATCAGTCAAATATGTTTGCACACACAAGGAATTTGATTTGGTGACAGAAGCAGTTTCCAGTACATAGAGCAAACAAGAGTACACAAATAGTCAAATAAAAATAAAGATATATGTGAATAAGACACGTGTGTGATTTTATATATATATATAAAGAAAGAAAATAGACAAATTTGGTACTGTTATGAGAGAATGAAGAAAATCCATGTGGCTGTGCACAGCTTTTGCTGTCCAATTGGAAATAAGCCTGAAACAGTGTGGTCAGTATGTCTGTACTAACCAGACTGTAAGTAAGGCTGGAAAAAGAGATGAGACAATATAGTCCCCCCCCCCCCCTTCTTTCAATCTCTGCCTCTTTGTGGTCTAATTTCTTTCTTTCATATGAGATCTTGAATGAGAAAAGTCTAATAACATGCCTCATTGGGAGAAATTGGGTCATTTAAAAAGACTTGATGAACCACACCACTATCATTACCCCCACAGAGGAAACAAGCTGTTTTGAATGACCTCATTTCCTAAAGAGAATATCGTCTGACTCAGTAATACCACATGAATGAATGGGAGTACTGTGGCGGGGGGATGACCATGGCATGCTGTAAAACTTAACTAAAAAAGATAATTTCTTTTTCAGTCTCTTCATGATAAAATGTCTGAGAAGGAAACCTTAACAGATGTAGCCACAAGCAGTTCAGCACTGCAAAGGTAAAATGACTTCCATAAGGTCTAAATTGCATCCCCATTTTAATCAGACGTGATTGTTTTATGATAATCTCCATTCTCTCGTCACAGGACCAAATCGGTTTCTGCCCTCTCTGAATTTAAGAGTCTGCTGGACACCAGTCTGTTCCTTCCTGGTCACATGGTCAGTGGAGTAAAAGAGTGCAATGTTGCACAGCACCAATCTACTGCTCCGGCCTCCATTCTGGCTTGCACTGACTTAAGTGATCTCAACAAAAAGAATTGGAAGTACCTGACCAGCGATTCAGCAATATTGGAAAAGCATGACCAGTTTAAGACATGGGACTGCCCAAGCACCAACTCGAACAGCAGCTTCCCAGGACTGGAGCTAAGCAAGGAGTACATCCAGAGAAGCTACACTGCTCCAGATAAGACGGGCATTCGCATCTATTACAGCCCTCCAACAGTGCGGAGAATGGAGAGGAGACCAGTCAAAGAAAAGGCCCACCAGGATCCCCAGCAAGGACTATCATCTAGGGATGCAGCCATGATAGGTCTATCAGGTCAGACTGCTGTGTCCGTACCCTTATCCACCACTTCCTCATCCGCTTATGAGCAGTGGTTGAGCTCACTTTCACAGCAGCATAGAGACCTGCTTGAAGGGCGGACAGGAGGTTCTGCACCTTTCCATGGACTGGAGATTTCAGGCAACCTTAGCGATGACATGAAGGAGATGACAAACTGTGTACGACAGGCCATTCGTTCCAGTTCCCTGGAGAGGAAGTGCAGCAAAGATTCTGGGAGCCAGACAGTAGGTGTTTCTAGTACAGGAACGCAGACAGCACAGTTTGTCAGCATTGGCCTACAAACTGATGCCATTTCAACTACTAGAGGCCTTCAAGGGAAAACATGGTCTCCTCGTCCATCCACCTCACTTGCATCTGCACGCTCCCGACAGATCTCTTCATCTCTGGATAAAGTGCACAGTCGCATAGATAGACCCTGTTGCTCACCAAAATATGGCTCACCTAAGCTCACCCGCAGAGTTTCCACCTCCTCCTCCAAACTCGAGACCTCCTCAACATCCTCAAGGGATCGCAGTGTCTGGAATCTGCATAACCGTAGTGGATCTCAGATTGGTTCTGCCTGGGCACGTTCCACCACCACACGTGACAGCCCAGTGCTTAGTGGCCTAAATGATGGCTTGACCAGTCTGTTCAGTGTGGTGGAACACTCCGGAAGTGTTGAATCATTATGGAAAGCAGATCAGTGCCCAGGGAGACAAGCCGCTGGGAAACCCTCCTGTCCTAGTATAGGTATCGGTCTGGGAGAAGCGGGATCTCAGAAGTATGGCATGGTCCAGGAGTTTCTTTCCAATGTTTGCGCCAGGACTGCGCCAGCGGGCACAATGGACGAACCGAAGCCTGAATACCTACCTGGAGCCTTGATTGGCACAGACAATATCACAAAGATCGTCAACAAGAGGTTTATGAAAACACAAAGAGACGATTTGGTAGCCACCGGAAAGGATGCAATGAGCACAAGCTCTAGTACCTTGGAGGTGAGTTTAATCATGAACAACTAATTGTGTTAGACAAACTCCCTCTTCCTCCAAAGCATAAACCCTGAATCAAGTAAATATTTTAACTTTTGAGTTCTTTTTTGTTATTGCAGGATTCAGTTTGTGACTGCAACTCACAAACCGTCACTTCTTGTTTTGCCCGCCACTCCCGCTCCACCACACGACATACCCATGGTCAGTGCAAGCACCGAGAGCAAGAGTCATCCATGGGAACTGAAGAACGATTCGATACCAGTATTGAGTGAGGATGACCCTCTTCTGACGCTTCCCAAAAACTATACAAAATAAACAACTATCAACAGTCACACCACACAAACTGCCACACAAATCCACTGCCACATACGCCAATACACACAGACACACCTACAAAACAAACACACATACTTCATATCTTAAACAAACAAACAAAAAACTTCAGGGTTACAACAATGGGACCTTGGAGAATTCCTGCATCTGGAGAGTTTCCAAACCAGACCTCAGTGTAACCAGCACACTTTAATGCCAAGGATGGGGAGAAAGTAGAGCTCCCTTTTAGGTCCACCATTCCACTGTCAAGATTTCACATTGTTAGTCCGTCATTCCAGTGTAAACCAGCCAGTCCTGACTTTGAATTCCACAATCATTTAGTCAGGCCTCTCCTTAAACTCAGCCATTCCTCTGTTCTTTATCCAGCCAACAGGACAGCTTAGCCAGCCATTTCGATACCCATGGGAGAACTTGAGTAATCCAAACCCAAGTTGACACCAGGTCTTAATGAATTTCATGTAGATATCAAGGAAACATAAAGCATGCAGCTGAACTACACAAACCAAGAACCTCAACATGGCCTTCAGTAAGAGTAAAACTTATCATCACAACTGCCCAGTGGCCCTTACTCTTGCCCACAAATAGTATTGCTTGGAGTAGCTGTAAATTTGTCCCATAACCAGCAATTGATGGATTCTACGAGTTCATGTACAACTTACCTTTTTAAAAAGTCTACAATGGACCACTTTTGTCTTTGATGGTTAAGAAGAAAGTTTCTTCCTGGAAAGTGTTGCCACCTTAAACCAACATGGTCTCAATTTGGTTTTATGTTCATGTTCTCCACAGACAATCATCAAATAGCAAAGCTTGTTTCAACCACTTTATAAACTCTGCAACTACTTGGGACCATGTTCCATTTTCAAACCAGCCAAAATATGAAACTCAGAATATACCCCTGGATTTATCTAAAATAGAACTGGATGATATGATTCATCATATTGCATTATGAATCTGTCCCATTTAAAACTTGATATTCTTATTATGCTGTCTGAAGATGTCTACGAAGAGCACGTTGGTAGAGGTAGAGTAGGAGGATAGCAGTTGTTTTGTTTTCTTTGGTACTTTGTACTGTATACGTGTTTGAACATTAGAGTACTAACATGTAAATCTCCATTCCTTGGCTAGGATGTCCTCATAAATTTTAAAGTGTAACGGTCATTTTTATTATACTTTTTATTATCGTCCCCTGCTACTACGGAAGACTGTTGCTGGGTGTATCTTCTGCAATCCTCTTCTTTTTTTTCACTGTCTACCTCGCCATCCTCCATCATCATGCTGGAATAAACCTAATGGACCTTAGTTAGGGTAGATTAGGGCTGTGTATTGGCAAGAATCTGGCGATACGATACGTATCGCGATACATGGGTCACGATTCAATATATTGCGATATATTTCGATACTGTGCATAAGGCGATATATTGCGATTTTTTTAAAGTAGGACTACAATTTTAGAAAGTATTATTTAAAAAAAAAGACATGATGTGCATAAAATTCAAACAAGTTTACTTTAGATAAACAATTCAGTACACAGAATATCAAACTGCCAGTTTGGGATTGTGGTTCACAGGTTCTTAGTGAGCAAATTTGTATATGCTCAAGTAGGCCTTAATAAAAGAAAATACATAGCCCCTGTCACAATACATAACATACACACATGTGTGCAATCTGAAAAAAGAAAAGACATCTGTCTATGTCAATAAAAATAAATAAATGCTTGCACTATTCCTAGTACACAGGGTACATCCAACACGTGTTGTGTTGCAAAAACACGAACACAATTCAAGTCAAGTCAAGTATATTTATATAGCGCTTTTCACAATTGTATCAAAGCTTCACAGTATAAATCAAAATAACATAACAATGTTTGTTTCTTAGTGGAAAAAACATCCACGTTAGGTAGGGCTGATCAATGGTATTAATGATTGGTTAATTAATTTAACAGGACGCAAACGAGCAGAGAGAGAGAGAGAGAGAGAGAGAGAGAGAGAGAGAGAGAGAGACAGAGAGAGAGCGCCCCGGCCGCGCGCGCGCACTCTCACGTCTTCAAACAACACGCGCGCTGTCTTGCTCTCTCTCCCTCGCGCATATTAATCAAAATCATAGACACTGTAGGCGAGGACATTAGTGGTGCGTCTCATTCTAGCCATCTAGTGGTAGGGATTTAAACACAACATAAACGCGAACCACGGCAATAGTATGAATATTTTTGCACGTAAACTAAAAAAAAAAATCGATATTGCGTTTTTGAAAATCGATACAGTATTGCAAAATAAAATATCGCGATACTCAAGTGTATCGATTTTTTCTTACACCCCTAGGGTAGATGTCAATTTTAATTTGATGTGAATGAAAACAAGACTATTAGGGATAGTCAGTTTAATAGATTTTACTATTGGGTGTGTTGGAAAATGAGATGTTAATCTTAAATCTACTGTACTTTGTTTTAAATATCATTCTAAGTCCTTGCGGTCTTCTGATTCAAATGGTTTTTGAACTAATGCTGACTAGACTGTTGGGTCTGTCTGCATCAATGCTGGCTCAGCAAAAAGGTGCATAGTGGCTTAAAGGGGGAGCTTGTGAGCACCCTTCCGAAACCTAAAATGACAAATGGGATATTCTATACACCAGGGATGGGCAACGCCGGTCCTGGAGTACTGCTGTCCTGCAGAGTTTAGCTCCAGCCCTGATATAAAAAACTCACCTGCCTGTTGCCTAAGTAATCCTGAAGACATTGATTGGCTTGTTCAGGTGTGTTTGATTAGGGTTGGAGCTGCAGGACAGCAGCACTTCACAACCAAAATTGCCCATCCCTGCTATACACCCCATTGTTTCACTTGGGACAGAGCCAGAGTGTACGTCAATCCCTTACAGCCTCAATCATGCCAAATTGAATGTCGTCTACCCTGACTAAAACCCATAATCCTATTTAACAGAACACATTTGAAACCCTCACAAAATACTAATTATGCAGATATCACATTTATGAACAGACATGTTTAAGACTGAAACATTGAATGCTAATTAATTGGCCATAGAGAGATTTTGAGATTAGTGAGATTTTATCAGATAATCCCAAAAGCCAAAATATAATCCATAATCTGATCATTTGTCCATGAAGCTATGCAGTTACTGAAATACGAGTGTGTGCCTCCCTGTAGCAGCTCCTGCGTCCAAGTCAAGTCTGCTTTGTAAGGTTTTTTTCTTTTCTTTTTTCAAATCTCCAGTTGGAGTGGTGCTGCAGAAACTGAAGTTTAGTCCTTTTTGCTGGTGCTTTTCTTAGCTTTGATGACAGAACATAAGAGGAAACATTTTTTGTATGCATTTCTCGAGCCATAAGAATTGTTGATTCAGCTCTCTTTATAAATCGGACATTTCTCAATTGTTCAGTGTCTAGAAAAACAAACAAACAAACAAACAAACAAAAACCCAGCCTATTATATCCCAGAAAGTGTCACCTCTTCATCTGTCACAGCCATGCCATATGTCCCACAGCTACCTCTTAACTCAAAACTGTATCTTATATTACATTTTTAGCCCATTCATGTTTTATTTTGAAGGTCACTAGAGTGCCTTTTTAAAATTAAAGCAACAAGATATCTGTTAGAAGTATGTTTTTGAGGAACCATCTACTGATGGCAATGAAATAAGATGTTTTCAGAAGACTGCTATTAGCTACAGAACCCATGTTTCTTAAAAAGGACAAAAATGACAAAGTCTGTATTCATAAAGTTAAATGAAGTGCAAATTCAATCTATTGTGTATATTGTAATTGATTACAGAAGCCAAAATGCAGTTTGAGGATATTTACAAGTGAAATCTGCAAATGTAATCAGTCCGTCCTTTCTTTATAAGCCATTTTAACCTATTTGAATGTTTCCTGTATTGAGTCTGATGTTGTGGCTTTGCTCACTTATATATCAGACAAACGGTGTACTGTCCCTTCAAGTGTCCCTTAACTGTTTAGTCTTGGTATTCACGCTTCTGAGACTGGTCACATGATCTCTGAAAAAACAGGGGGAATGACCTTAGTTTAGGAGCTTTTCGTTTGAGTGCTCCCAGTCAATTTTTTTCCAATGCTGAAGTCTTACATCAAACCCCACTGATGGTTTCCCCAAATTTAGCAGAAGAATGTAAATGAAGCCAATTAGACACTTTTATAGCTGTTCTTAAACCATTGACAGAAGTTTAAAAGGTCATGTGGTTAGTGGTTTTAGATTTAAAGGAGTTTCATGGGAGCAGCTCTCTAATTGGCCTTTCCATTCACAATATTGTTCTCCATCACGTCACCCTGTTTCAATGCCTAGCAATATATAAAACACCTTGTCGCTTATCGTTGTCAATATCAATTGCTAAATTATTATAAAGAGAATGTGTGTATATTTTTTTTGTTTCCATTTGAAATCTCTTGAATGAAAAAGATGATGTCGGATGGACAATGAGGAACATTTCTAAACGTTTTAACTTGAAATCAAATATACTGTAAATAAATACGCAATTTTTACTCTTTCTATCCTTGTGTAGGAAATTTTGAATGTCTCTGCCAACTTTGAGCTTGAATTCTGTACCTTTCCTCACCTGAATTAAAAACATGAGAACATTTTGTGTAAATAGAAACATTTTGAAAATAAAAGTGCTGAAAATTTCCTGTTAGACTTTCTTTTGTCCCTTTTTTTACATCTGGGTGGGTGTTGCCACAAATATTATTTTATACTTGTCATAATTTACAAGTTAACATTAGCTTATAAATAATGAGAATACTATAACTTTATATGTTATCTGAAATGTGAAATTGAATGTTATGAAGAAAGATTGTTTTCATTTAAATTAAATATAAATTGTCTACTTTAAGAGTATTTTTTTTGTGATTCATCTTTTTACATATTCAATCTGCACTCATCAAGCTATTTCATTTTCGACTCTTTAACCTAGCACATTCTTTTGACATGCATAAATGTGTTTAAAGTGATGCATCATTGGTTGAGGTAATTACTGTTGTCTCTCCCCTTTGGAGCAGAGAGAGTGACGGAGTGGTGTGTTAAATGTAGCTCTAGGTTATATTCATGTCCAGCTGTGGACTGTGAGTCTCAGTCCAGCTGGATTCCTTCTTCCCACACACACACACACACACACACACACACACACACACACACACACACACACACACACACACACACACACACACACACACACACACACACACACACACACACACACACACACACCAACTGACAACAGGACCATGGAAGTCAAACCCAAGATCATTTCTGTTTTTGCATGTGTGTTTGGAGTCGGGTTTACTTGAGAAGAACATCTGTGATTTTCTTCAGGGTCATTTTCCTGTCCGCCAAGATTTTCCTTTTTTGAAAATAATCAAGTTTACATTTGAATGTGAGTGCGGAGAGAGATTCAGAGAGACAGGATGTGACCAAACAGTTGCATCATTCAAAAAGAGTCTGATTTCCTGTCGCAGTGGGATGACACTGGCATTAACATGCATAGTGTGAATCAGTGCAGGAGGCAGAGAAGAAAAAGGAAAAAGAAACCATTAGGGAAAAGCTGTGGCTCTGAATGTCATATGGGGGTTTTTCCTTTTAAGCTATGATGCACTGCAATAATACATTCCATTTCATTCTCCACTGAGCATAAACACACACTCACACACACACACTT